TTTGGGTTTTTTTTTTTTTTTTTTTTAAAGAACCCGGAGCTGGAGCCAGGTGGGGCAGCCATTGACAGGGCTGGGAGAGCGGGCGGGGGATGGGGGCTCATGGCAGAGCCCCCCACACAGTGAGGGGCAGCAGGGATCGCCACCCATCCCCCCACCGGTCTGGCAGCAGCCGGTGAGTGCAGGGCTTTTTTTTTTCCTTTTCTGAAGTGCCAGGACACTGGGGCTGGGCAGGAAAGCCATTGATAAGGCTGGGAGAGCAGGCGTTGGTTGGGGATGGGGCCTGGCAGGGGTCCCCCCTGCTCCTTCAGCACTGCCCTGCCCCCTACTTACCGGCATGGAGTCTGGGCCCAGCTCCCCTCAGTGGCAAGTAGGGACTGCCCAAATCTCCAAAGCTCTGCAAATCTTTTCCGAATTGATTCAGAGAGCTTCAAATAGATTCAGACCTTTTTATTGATCTCCTGATTCAATTCAGATTCAGAGATTCGGCCACCAAATCGAGCTGAATATCCTCTGAATAGAATCGGCACCTGAAGCTTTGCACAGCCCTAACAGTCAGAGTAATGGCTGATTTATGAGATCACTCAGGGAAGATTCGAACTTAACCATTTTGTTCTCTGCCAGAAACTTCTATTGCACAATAAAGACTATGCAGGCAAACAGAACTGTAGTGAGTAGGTCTTACCTCAATTTTTTTCAACACATCCACATTACTTTTGTTTGCATCAACTTTTGCATCAGCTTTTGCCTTTTTTGGTTTTCCACCTGCTGATATAAAATAACAAGTTATTTCTCGTCTCTCTTAGAATTCCAACAAAGATTGTACATCTACTTTAGTATTAAAAGTTACAGTTCAATATTAGCATCTATCTTGACAAACTAATATAACTTTTCTGCCATTTGCTTACTTTTATCTTGCAAATCCTTTATTCTCCTCTGAACCTTAATAGCTGAAATTTTTATATAAATGAGGGTTAATCTAAAATTCAGCTTTGAATATGCATTTTACCACATTTTGGCCCAAACTGAGACATTCAGCTTCAGTCTAATAATTTACAAATGTATATTCAAAACTGGTTAAGGAAATAAGTGAAGAAAGCTCATAATCATAATTTCTCATAGTCTTAAAGATATTCAAAAACATCCTTACAATCATTTAAATTCCTGATAAGCCAATATTGATTTTCATTATGCAGTATCCTCAAGATCGTAGGAGCTGTTTGCACTGGATGGGCAATGCTCATCTTACCTTAACCATGCACTCAGAAAGAGTTAAGTGAGTTCTGTCTGTACAGGTGACTGACCTTTTCATTTGGATGCATATAGCAGTTGTGACTCTAGGATGTAGGCTAAGCAGTCTTGAGGTTTAAGCCCTAAGAACAGCTATGCCTGTGGGGAGGCCTTGAGACAATCCTTATGCTAATTCATTCTTTCTTTAGAAAGACAAATCCTACAAGAGAGACAGTTTTTGGGGCTGGGCAGCAGTAGTGCAAAGACACCTATTTTGGGGTAAAAGGTTTGCTTATGATAGTATTTTACTTTTTCCTAGCACAATCCCCTATATTTTTCACCTTCTTTTGGTACATCAAGTACTGCCCACATCTAGAGGCAAGAAATGCAATGGGGACTGGTGGTCTAATTAGTTATGACAAAACCCTATGGTCCTAAAGCACTAAATTATTTTTAGTGGCAGGAATAAACAAAATGAAGAATTATAGTGCAGTTTACATTGTCTGGAGTACTGTGTGCAGAGATGGACACTTTATCTCAAAAAGGATACTGCAGAGCAATAGGTAGGTCATAGAAGAGTGATGAAAGCAATCAAGGTCATGAAACAAGTCCCATGTGAAGACAGAAAAAACTGATTTTTTAACCTTAGAAAGGAGACAAATCAGAGTTGACATGGTAAAATTCTAATATAATAAAAGCCTTAGTGTGTCTGCCTGTCTGTCCGTAATGCTCTGGGCCAACTGTGCATGCACCGCCAAGAGGGCATGTGCCAATTGGCTGTGAGGGCCTGAGTGTTACAGATAGAGGGGGCAAGGGAGCTGCCACATTGCCCCTCACCAACAACAGCTGGCAGGGAGGGGGAGGTGATGGGGAACAGGGAGGAAGGGGAGCAGGAAGGGGAAAAGGTGGGATTTCTGATGGCAGACCCCCCCCTGCTACCACCACCGCTGCCTGGCCCCAACAACAGCCAGCAGAGAGGGGGAGGCAGCAGGGAGGGAAGGAGGAGAGGGAGCATGTTGCATGGTGCCGGTTGTCAGTGACCATGTAAGCTCCCCTTCCCCAGTCCTGGCAGCCAGCAGCAGTGTGGGATGGAGCAGCAGGGGGTGGGAGGGGCCACAGAGTCAGACACAAGGAGTGGGGGGAGTGTATGGGGCCAGAGGTGGAGCGGTGGCACTGCAGGGCACTGGGTGGCAGCACTCCATCCCCACCTGCCCCGCACCCCCATCATTCATGATGGGCAATTCGCTAGTATTGTATATAAATAAGGGGCTAAAGAGTACTCCCTCACACTTGTCTCATCACCGAAGAGCCAAGGGACATTCAATAAAATTAAAACCTGGAAAATTCAAAACAGGTAAAAGGAAACTGTTTCCACCCCCAGATACAGTATACAGACTGTGGAACTCACTGCTAGATTAAGCTACTGAAGCCAAAAACTTAAAATTTGCCCATGTGAAGCTCTGAGCTAATGCAATTAGGCAGTTTCTGGTGTCTGAGCTAGAATGGTTAAAACTTGTTCAGGAATCTCCTACACTACCCTGCTGTCTTCTGTGGAGACATAACCT